CGGCGGCCCGGGCTGGAGCCGCGGAAGCTTCCAGCGGCCCTGATACCAAAAAACCCCGCCACACAAACCCATAACAGTCCCCTACATATGTTTTGGGATTTTTGGCTAAATCTCTTCTAAGATAGAAGAATCCTGAAACAAAGCAGGCAAGCATTTTTAGGCCTAAATATGAATCTCAATTAAAAATTATCAATGGAGTATCCCATAGGAGGAAGACTTCTGTTGCATTACACCTCTTCTCCTCTGTATCAGCTGCTATTAGTTCTTATTAGACATTTATCTGCATTGTCACCAGGCCTCTGAGCTCATTGTTAAGTTGCTTTGTAAGCATCCAAGAGAAGTAAGGCTTGGAATAGAAAGAGGGCAGTGAATTAACTTGACAGATATTTATGGGGAACCACTCCCAAACATGAGAGTCAGCATGAGAGAAAGCGTGAACGTTCCACCTTGGAAAATGCAGTGGCTAAGTGATGGTTTAGCTGTTGTTTTGGGCAGGCAGATATTTTCATTGGTTAACGCGAAATGACAGGGAGACGGAGATATGCCAAGAAAAGCTGTGAAGATAATTAACACACTTTTTTTCTGGCATGGGGACAAAGGAGATGCAAAAAGTAAAGGGTGGGGAGCTAACCCTTGCAGAAAGGTTCAGGAAGTGTTGTGCTAGTAGACAGTACTTAATTGGAACTTGGAGTTACAGCTCGTCAACTGCAATGAGTTTTTAATATAACAACCGTATGCACACTAGTAAGATGGAGCATGAGGGGAGACGAGAGATCTGTACATCAGTGTTGCTGCTCAGAACTAAAATACTTTTAGCTTTTAACCAGAATGTTCCTATTGCATTAATTTTCAACCCAAGGCTCTTAAAAGGCTAGTTACCCATGAGTGATGGTAGCCATGCTTTTAACCTTGTTGTCCATGAGCTAAAGTACAAAGACAGAAGATTCTTCCATGCAGCCAATGTAGACCCTTCAAGAACCACAGTGAAAAAAAATTGTGTAATTGCTCTTAGCTTTTGCAGTGCAGTTTCTGGTGCAAGAAAGCCTTGCAGGGATACACCCAGCTGCAGAAGCAGCTAGTGTCTGACAGCATGTAGATCCTGTTGATCAAGTCAAGGACTGCAGCCAGAATAATTGCTTGAAATTTTCTGGATACAGAAATGCCAGTGAGGAGTGCTGCCCTGTTCTTTTAAAAGGTTATTCCTAAGGGGCAGAATTGGAATAGTCTTGTAGTATAACAGATGTACATTTATGGATAAATGTCAAGGGCTTGCACTGATTCTCCTGAGAAGTCTGTAGCAGTTTTACCACATCACTGCTTACAGTCAGCATTGCTATATTTTTTAGCTCTAAAAAGTTAATGGAAAAAAGTATGGTAGGAGGAAAAGTGCAGGGGAAGTGTGAAACCTTTTCAGAAATTATTTCCTGCTAAGAAATCTAATGAACTTTATGTGAAGAACTGTAACAGCTAAGCACACCCCACATAACAGGCAAGCTTTGATAGTTTTTAAAGCTCTTCAGGCACGCTTTTTTATTATGATATAGCTGTTTGTGTTCCCTAACCAACTAAAAATTATGTCGAGATTTCTCCTTGCTACCCTGTTCTTCCTCTTTCCCTATCAAGAGTAGGTTTTGGGGATTTGGAAATCCACCTCTATTCGGAAACACAGATTACTGCATATTTTTTAAATATCTTTGTAGCTAAGAATAAACCCAACAACTTTATTTTCATTTTTCTAGAGGGTTTTTTTTCCTTAAAAATCAAGTATTACTCAAACTTTCTAGATATTTGCCCTTGGTTTTAGTAGTGTTTAAGACTTTTTTCCCAGGCTTCCTGAAGTGTGTATAAGTACACATTTTTTCATTCTTATGTGTTGGAAGATTAGCTTCATTAATAATATGACATATAGAGAAACTTACAGGAAAATATTCTTAAACTATTTTTAGACTGCATGTTGTTGTAGAGTGCACTGTATAATTAGGCATGTGTTAAAATATTGGGAAAATAACCTGAATCTGAGATGATCCTAACGATGAAAGGGAGATTAAATCAGAGATTTATAATGCTGGCCTGGAGATGTTTATTAACTCTACAGAAAATATATACAGGGTGTTTCAGTATTATAATGTTTTTTGTATTACAGCTTGCTGAGAAGCATTAAGATATGTATAGTCCTAAATCCTTCTCCTTGGATTATAAATTAGTTCAGTACTGAAAATTTATTCACAATTATATGCTGATAGAAGAGCTGCAGATTGTGTGTACATCTCTTGAGTAATGAGAACTGCATCGCTTGCGAATGTAGAATACTGATAACGGAGTTGAGAATTTGACATGCTGCAGGCAGGCAACATGCAGGCTTTCACACACAAAATGCATTGCACGCCTGACCTACTAATTGAAGTACAGTTCAAAAACACAGAAATGAGATTTGTTTAAAATTAAAAAAAAAGTATAGAGGTGCCATTTTTATTAGTAACTCTTCTCACTAGGACTGATCTGGATACCTGTCCACAAGCAGCAGTGAAGGAAACAAACCCCCAATAACCTGAGAAGTTAATGAAATAAAAGTATTTTTAGTGCCCTGAACATATTTCATTTGCAGTAGTGTACATATTCTGCAATATCAATAGTGTTATATCACTGTGATAAGCCTAAATACCTGATTATAAAAATACTTTGGGATGAGAGACACTTAAAGGATCAAGTATTGCATTGAATTTTAAGACCCCCCTATGCACAAAGGAAGGTCTTAAACCTGCATCTACTTTTCTACAAATAAGAAAGAATCCTTTGCAAAAAATGTTAGTTTATACAGAAAAGCATAATAACTAATATATACTTCCAAAAAAGGGTTAGAATTGTGGTTTTGAATTGTATGTGAAAAACAGTGACTTAATTTGCAAATGTGTGTATGTGTGTACCTGCCTATTTATCCTTCATGATATTCTCACAAGTAGTAGAAGCAAGTAGGGTTGCTGAGTAGACTCAATAATGTGTCTTTCAAACATTTCATTCTAGCAATCAGTAAGATGAAATAAATAGTCTTGTGGATTTGGTGTTTTTTAAAGCATGTGAATCTGAGCAGTGATCACTTTTCAGCAGAAAATAGTGTACTAAAATACTACTGTTTATAAATGACAGTGTTTTTTAAAGTCTTTTTCAAAGCTCTGAAGTGTTTAGCCTCTAGCTCTCATTGACTTGGATAAATTCATACTGGAGTTCAGATGATAATTTATGTGACTGCTTTTGAAAACAAATTTAGGTCAAATCCTGTTTCTGTAGGAGCATCCATTAACTCTGCCAATAACTCTGGGAAATATTTGTGTTCACAGCCTCTGTTCTTTAACTGACAATTAATTTTTTCTGAGTCACCTGCCTTCAAGTATGGAGTTGCCACATAAAGTGCTTTCTTTAAGAAGCAAGGATACTTTGCTCATATACTGCAAATACATTCTGTAGAAATCTAGCATCTGGTGATGCATTTACTTTTTTTTATTTTTCCAGGGGAATTCTGGCCTGGGGTTCAGTATTGCTGGAGGAACAGATAACCCACACATTGGGGATGATCCTGGGATATTCATTACTAAGATTATACCAGGAGGAGCTGCAGCAGAGGATGGAAGACTCAGGTAAAAACAAACTCATTATGTATGTTTGGAAACAAAATGCATCATTATTATAAATTATTCTCTGGGAGTCAAATGCCAACTGCGTCTTTCATGGGGTTGGGGAAGTAAATGACATGACTAGAGTCTCCTTTCTGCTAAAGTAGGAGAGCTGATTTAAGTAGCTTAAAGCAACTGAATAGGGTTAAGTCCTGTATAAAGAGGTATTTGCTAGTGCCACCTCCATCTTTGTACCAGTCATTTCATTTAGTACAAAAGGCAAGATGGGGACAGGAGGAGGAAACAGGCATATCAGCATGAAAATCTTCTCTGCTTGGTCTTTGTATGTCCATGGCTGAAGAACTATGCATTGGTGTAATACATTAAGGCTATCAAGACTTCCCAAACTACAGAGCTATTGCTAAATAGTCATAGTTATTTGTAGATGCTTCTTGTTATTTGACTGCAGTAGTGAGGTGTGCTTACCGCTGTTTCCAAACATTTTTTGTGCCTGTGCTCTATATTCTGAGTCACCTCTGTAGTAGTCTATTGCTGTAGCTCCTGAGATGGACACACAGATCACTTGTGGTTCTCAACTACCTGAGATGGTAGCACATCTCTTAAACAAGAGGAACCACAGAAGTGCTTGTTCTTTTCTTTCCTTACGGACTGAATGCAGAAAGGCTTTCGTCTATCACAGCGACTGCCACCCATCTGTCAGTTATGAAGCCTGCTGATGCTTCAAAAAGGCAATTTAGCTGGAAAGACCTGGGATAAAATTCTGAAGCTTTCATGATCTCAGCACTGGAATCTAAGCTCTGGGAGCCTTTGCCAAAAACAGATGGTCTAAAATTCATGATATGTGACCAGAGGGTAGCAATAACTTTTTTCCCAAAGCCTTTTCCTTTAATTCAAAGTTAAAAATAGGGGAAGTTGGCCAGTTTTTAGAGCAAGTTTTGGATATTTCTTATCCTGGGTTAGTAATCTGATTTTGGAAATTATTCTTATTTTTACTGTGATAGTGATGAGGAGTCATGGTGGTTGGCAGTGCCTGAAGAATTTACGGTCTAAATAAGATTGCAGGCAAAAGGAGTAGGAATAATCTCATGTAACTTTATGACTAAAATGCAGCTATCTACCCCTAAGCTAGTCATAAAGCCTCCTAATAGTCAGTGAAGAAAAACCTAAGCATTTCTAGGTTGTGATTCATCTCATCCTAAAGTCAATGTCTAAAATAGAACAGAAGAATCACATCTCAAAAGGGCCTATATTTTCACTGGTGACTCAAATGAAAAGGATTTTCATCAACTCGTTCAGCTGTAGTGATCTGTACTGTAAATGTCTGCATTGGGCCAGATGAGCTTCATGCAAAACAGAGCATGAGGAAACAGCAGTACTTGGAAATCATGCTATCAAATTTGACATGATGAACAGCATAGGGGGATCTTAAACCTGCATCTACCTTTCTATAAATAAGAAAGAATCCCTTGCAAAAAATAATATCTTTTTAGTAGAGTTTTTAATTACTTTTGAAACCTTTTTTAGTTTAAGCTATTAAGAAGACAGAAGCCACTGAAGTATTTTGTTGTGCTATCTTTGTATGAAATCAAATATTTCATAACTCATTGCTATACTAATTAACTACTGTAAATTTAATTCACGATTATTTAGTAATTACTGTGTTGTAAAGGTCTTAGACCTTCTAACCCCCCCAAAAAATAGCATACTAATGCAATTCATTAATCCATATTAAGATTAGACCTGGCAAACTTTGTGTTTTGCAATGAAAGTTTAGTAGTACAAGTATAGTTATCTTATTACTCAGACTTAGATAATATTCTTACAGTATTTGTTAGCACATTTTAATGTAAAATAATTGATAAGCATATATTTGGCGTGGTTGTTTTTCCTATTCTTATTTGTAAACAGATTTTTACAAAGACTCCTCCTTTCCTTGCTTTATCTGATAAGCGGGTTTCACTTTGCTACAATGCTAGCAAAGACACAATCCTGTCATATTTTAGGAACACCTGAAAATGCATTTATCAGTGATCATTACTGATATGCCACTGAAGAGAAGAGCTATCCTGGGACAGTCTCCACTGACTTACATGATAATTAATTTTACGTAACAGAGAGATTATCGGCTAAGGCCACTCTACAGGAACAAAAGCTTAACAACATGCAGTAACATCTGCCAAGAATAGCGATAACCTAGGTTCCTAGCAAAAGCCCAATTTTGAATTACCTGACAATGGAAGATTGGTGTTTATGGACAGAAAAACTATATACTTTGTGTTCATTTTTGCCTCAGACTCTGCCTGCAGATACTCTATATTATATAGCAGGGTGGACTGTTTGAACTGGCTTCTAAATCTACTGTCTGTTTTTAAATCATAGAAGCCTGTAAAATCACTTTTACTGCATTTTACATGAAGTCCCTTTGATCTAACTTAACTGAGTGAAGTTCTTCAAATAGCGAGATTGTGAAAGCGACCTGCAAGACATGGATGTAATGCTACAGACCCTTGTAAATCTTTTACGTGTACCTATGGGTTGGCAAGTGGAGGAGCAGGTCAATTGGAGCTTCACGTAAATCCAACAAAAGCAAATGCAACCTCCTGCACCTGGGAAGGAGTAACTCTTTAGTGGGCAATTTATAGTTTTAAGTACATAAATATCAGGTATAAGTACCTGATGGGAGGGAATAAAGACAAAGGAGCCAGACTTTTATCAGTAGTGCCTAGTGACAGGGCAAGAGGCAACGGACACAATTTAAAACACATGAAATTCCATCTCAACATCAGGAGACACTTTTTTACTGTGAGGGTGACTGACTCTGGGCACAGGTTGCCCAGAGAGATTGTGGAGTCTCCATCCTTGGAGATATTCAGAACCTGACCAGACATGTTCCTGGACAACCTGCCCTAGCTAACCCTGCTTCAGCAGGGATGGTTTGATGAGATGATCTCAAGAGTTGCTTTCCAACCTAAATGATACTGTGATTCTGTAATTTGCACCTGAGTCAGCAGTGTGCCCTGGCAGCAATGAAGGCCAGCATGGAGGTCAGCAGAGATGCACAGAGGAAGGACTAGAGGCAAGAGTCACACGTTGCAATGAGGGAAATTCCAACTGGGTCTGAGGAAAAAAACCAATCTTTTTAATGAGGATAGTAAGGCACTGTAACTGCTGGTTCAGTAAGCTTATGCGATCTCTGTCTTCAGAGGGATTCAGAATTCATCAGGACCAAGTCCTGAGTCATGTGATTGAACTTTCAAGTTGGCCCTGCTTTGAGCAGGAGGTTGGACTAAATGACCTCCAGAGGTCCCTTCCAACCTGAATTGTTCTCGGATTCTGTAGATTATTCTTATATGTAAAACCTGTGTGAGAGACTGGAACAAAGGTGATTAAGTTCCTTGGGTTTTTTCCCTTTAGTGGAGAACAGTATTTGTATTGACAGTAGGTACAATGCAGAGTGTGGGTTTGTACCTCTTCATGGCCCATATCTCTACAGCAATACTTAAAAAGTCATAAAAGTTAATCAGCCACTTTAGACTACATTCATTTCAATAAAACATTACTGGTTTTGAAAGACTTCTTGAACTTCCAAATTCTAATAACTACTATGTTTACATACTACCCTCCCTGAAATGCACTGTTTTCTAGAACTAGTATAAGAACAAATACACTGCATAATTCAGATTTTAGAAGGCATTTTAGGTAAGTACACTGGCACAAACTCCCTAATCTTGCAAAATACAGAAAGCTGTAGAATCTTTTGTGATGTCCATATAATATATAGAAAATAATTTCATATATAGTAAATAATTTTGTGGAATACAAAATAATTAATTTTGGATTCGATCAGCTAAATGTGACTACAGTAAACTTGGGACTAACTGAAAATTGGTGCTTTTCTGAATGCTGCACACCATGTTTCTTTGAAGCTTTGAGTTTCAAGTCGGTGACAGAGAATATAAAACCTCCAGAAGCAGAAACCATTCCCACTGAGTTGAAGGAGAATTTCTCTCAACAGTTTGATCTTTTAAGACTTTGATGCATAAAAACTTCTGCTTCTATCTCACAAATGTCAGTTGTCCATGGGCAAACATCTTCTTTTTAATAAAGAAGCTCTGAATTTAGACTTCTTTTACTCTCTGGAAGAAAGAGAATTCCAGTAATTTATGGCTCAGTGCTTTTCTTGTTTTATTTGAGTTTGTGTCAGAGAAAAAAAATACAGTAGTTGGCTCAATTACTAGATAAAGCAAAGAACTTCAATATACTATCTCAGCAGTTCCTTCTATTGACACTTATTGATCATAAGTGTAATTCTGGCTTCTAAAAGGCAACACACATCTAAAAAATTCATCATACTCTGTGAAAACAAAAGTGATCAGCTTATGGAACTAGAAGCACACTGCAGTGGTATAACTTGATTGAAAAAAAAAAATAGTAGAAGAATAATGAAAAGCTTTTAATTATGACCAAGTTTAAAAGAGCAGAGACTCCCAAAATATGAATTTTTTTCAGCAATTGTAAACCAAAAGTGTTTTGAGTCAAAAATCGTTCTTTCTGTTTATAGGTTCTCATAGTCCAATTCCGATTTTATGTTGGAGGTATTTTTCTCAAAACTCTGTCTACAGGAATGAGTAGGTCATAGGAGTTCCTTATCTATTGCTTTCAGAAAATATGCTTTTCCTTTTGTGAAGGCAAGTTTGAAAATGTGACTTTTAAAAGGTCTTGGGATCTAAAAGCAAATAAGAGTCTTGGATAGAACAAGGATTAAAATATTATGTTTTGTAACAATCTCATGGTCATAGGAATCTTACTGAACCCATGATTAAAAAATCAGTTACTTCATATGTGACTGAATATGAATGAGTTTATTCGCAGGAGCGCGAGATAGATTTGGACAGCCTTGAGCTCGAATTTCAAGGGTTAATGTTGTACCAAAGATTATCTTGGTATTTGAGACTGAGCTGTAGTTAAGAGGAAAGAGGGTTGATGTGAGGGGTGAGACAAAG